TACGGCGTCGCCGTCGGTCGCCCTGCCCTCCCCGCTTGCCCGCCACTACGCCACTAGGCCTGCTCCTTCCCTACCCAACAATACGGCGTCGCCGTATTGTTGCCCTGCCCTCCCCGCTTGCCCGCCTCTACGCCACAAGGCCGCCGAATCGCCAGAATGCGAAGCAACCAAAAACAAATACATAGCAGCTAATAAGAAAAAAAAAGTACATTGCCCTATTCATAAATTCGTATCATCTGCTTTCAAGGTCAATTCTAGATTGAGATTCTTTTTATTGAGCTTTCTCGGAGTTATAGGATATGGAGAAAAAAAATTAAGTAAAATATTTGGCTACAAGTGCACAAGCATAGATAATTATTTGCTTGTCATGAATTACTCGGCTTGGGACGCAGGCCGCCCGTGACTCCACTTACACCGCCTCGTCGCGCCACTGCCACCCCTAAAAAGAGAGAAGCACTGTAATCAAAGACAAATTTTGTTGTAAATAAAGAGAACTGACATTTTTCTTGAAGTTGCTATGCTGGTCACTTTAACAGCGCAAAACGTGGGGGGGGGGGGGGGGGCGGTCAGGGTCTTCCTCGTTGTCCTCGCCCTCATCCTCGCCTCAGCGTTGAGGCAGCCGACGCCCGCGCGCGCTGTGACCACAGAAGCTGGTGCACTTTAGCCCCGCCATGACACAACTGCATGCACTACTGCAGCTACCCCTGCAATAGGGGAATTCCGCTGCAAGCCAGCCGGGACCTTAAGAAGTATGGCTGATTGGTCAACGATGACCTTGTCACGTCAGTCAGCCAATGAGCGCCCAGAGGGAGGCAGATCGAGCAGTCATGCTTTTCTTCTTTAGGTTCCGGTTCGCTTGAAGCGGAATACCATATTGCAGCGGATAAGTTCAAGCAGCTCCTCGGGAGTAGGTAGGCTGCTCGTCGTGGCTGAATAAAACTGGTTATTCTCTACCTTCCAGCCTCATTCCCTTGGATTCATTTAATTTCCCTGCCAATCTTGTATCTGGTGGTACGGTCGCATGCTGTGCTGCCGTTCTGCTGCAGTTGTCGGGGGTAGTGACTCCAGCAGAAACCTTGCTCGCACGGGCTGTCTTGCAATAGTTCTGTTGTAGAGGAAGAATCTTGCTATGTCGAGGTTTGGGACAGCGGTGCCGCCATTCAGCACCAGGAGTATCTTTTCTCCAGCGGCTGCAACCGCGTCTGGTGACTGGCCAGGGGCGAGAAATGCGTTTGCCCGCCTCGGGACTTGCGTGGCACATCTTTTGCAGCGCTTTCTTCTTTATTTCTCGATCCTGCCCTGACACCGTGTCAGTGCGGGAAATTGGGTGAGCCACAAGGATATTACAGGGTTCGGCTTTCTTGCTATGCATTGCAATTTGAAGGCTGTGAATGTGGTGAACCTTTGGCCCTCTTCGTCCTGACGCGGGGGAAAGCAAGTGAAGTGGCAAAGTTTTGTCTGGTAGTCCCAAGAGGAGAACGAGAAGACCATTACCGACAACAACACAGTTTGTGCCTTCCCGCGCAACTTCAATAGCTTAAACAACTATGAGCCTGTCAGCATCTGCCCGCTTCGCCTGACTCAGGCAAGATGCAAAGCTCCTGTCAGCAAGGTCTTGTTTCTTCCATTAGACAGAAATTCGGACTGGGTATCGCAGATGCTCATAGACGGATTGACGGCTGACAAGTCTGCGCTATTACCAGGTGCTGCTCTTGTTTGGTGCTCTTGGTGTTGGTCCTTAGTAGTGGGGCAGTCTGGGAAACAGTCGAACACAACCATTGCAGAGGTCCCATAATGGCGTGTGACACGCTACATGTAGAAGTTGACTACATTACTACAAGTAGCTGGGCCCACTGTCAAGTTGGGCAAGTTTTCAGATGTTTGTGGAACTGCCTATCACTCTGCAGCCAGGCATTCGTGCAATGGTTATGGGCGTAATGACGACACGGCGTATGTAACATTTTGCAGTAAGTCACTACTTCGTGGCAAACGCCATATCTGAGGCCAACTTTAACCTACGAAGGGTCTCTCTTGTTCGCCGCCTTCAGGGAGGTTTCCGAGGCATCCTATGAACAAAGTTTCAACTCCCGGTGTGCCGTTCGACAAAGTTCGATCTCCTTTTTATGTCGTTTTAGCTTTTACCTACACCATAGGCTTCAAACCGTGAAATCTTCGTTGATAATCCACTTATAAGGAAACCAATAGATTCTCTGTGATCCTTAAAGATTACGCAACACATTGGACCAATAATAAAATGCTATGATCTTGACGACAAGACGTACGAGGCGTTTAAACTTCCACCTCGTTGCGAATCCCAAAAGGGAGACCGTACAGCCTTCCTTATAGTTCAACGGCCAGACGACATAATGTCCATAATACCTATTTGTCCACGCCCCCTAAATGTCCTCACCCATGAAATGTCCTCTGCAATAATGCACCTATGACAGGTAGTCCCTGAGTAAAATAACTAGACAACGACATATATTGAAAATCACATACTCCTCTCCCTTCTCGGTGGGTCTTCCGGTGTCTCTTGGCCCTCGGTCGGTAGCGCGCCCGCCTTGAGATCCTAGCCGGTGGCCCTCAGGCACGGTAGAATAGTTTCTTGTCTCAAAAGACCTCGTCTCTGATACCATGGTCTTTGTTGATACCAATTAGCGTTTTCGTAAGACCCAAGACCGGGTCTTGTAATACTAGGTATATGTACGCCACACCACGTTTCGCGTAACAGGCTTAACGATATCTTACGAAACACTGCCACGCTGCGACGCACCTGGCGCACGTATAGCTAGGCCTGCGGCGATGACACATGAGAGTAAAAGGGGATAGAAACGACGGCCATGCCAGTGCCTGCACGGCCTAATGTGCGGCTCATTTTCTCCTAAACGCCTCTTTCTATTGAAAATCCGAAGGCAGCATCAGATAGGTCGATTGTATGGCCGCGTCAAGTTTCAGCTCAATCCGTCACACCCTTCCGCCTCGACGCCGCGCTGTCCGCCGCGCCGCAGTCGATTTTTAAGAATATTTTGGTACCTTACCGACCATTGAAATACGAGTTCACAACCGTAACAAAGGAGGTGCTTTTGGGGGTTATGTTGACTATAGTCGGGGGCTTGGCTGGCGGCAGCAGCTTGACAAATTAGTTGTTTTCGAAGGATTTAGAAAGGTAAGCACAAAATATTGGTATTGCACTCGAAAAGTAAACTCGGGAGTATTTTCTGCCAATATTTGTCATCAAAGGGTTTTACGCCACCAGTATACATTGATGTTATTATGTGCATCTAAGTATGACTGACATCAAAAATTTGCGGAAGATACTCCCGAGTTTACTTTTCGAGTGCGCCGATTCAATATTTTGTGCTTACCTTTCCAAATCCTTCGTAAACAACTAATTTGTCAAGCAGCTGCCGCCAGCCTAGGCTCCGACCATAGTCAACATAACCCCCAAAGGCACCGCCTGTGTTATTGTTGTGAATTCGTATTTCAACGGTCGGTAAGGTACCAAAATATTCTTAAAAATCATCTCATGCCATCCTAT